TCCCCCCCGACAAATTTTTTAAAACGAAAATGGTTTTCCCGGGAAATGATTGGGCTGTCTTTTGGAAATTCCTTTTCCTTTGGGGTCCCAATTTTACCCCCTTTCTTTTCCCTTCCAGGGTTTTGGACTTTTCCCCTTTTCCCCCAAACCCCTTGAAAGGGGTCTCCAAAAGCCCTTCAAATAGGAGTGGGCACATCTTGTACACTTTTTTTAACGGGATGGCGTTAGAACCAGGAATTTGAGCCCCAAAACGAGCCTTCTTGACCCACCCTCCCCTTTACCTCTCCCCCAAAAGGGGGTTTAGTAGTTTCCAATGGGTCTTTGGGGGAAGGCCCGGACTATTTCCGGGCACAGTCCCCTAGGGGGTTTCCCCTGTTTTACATCTGAAAAGCGTAAAACATGAGGCACTTCTTTCCAAACCCCTTTTAATGGGGGCTCCAAAAAGTTTTTGAAGGCCCCCCCCCTTTTTGGGGGCAAGCAGGTCCTTTTTTCAAAATTTTTTATGGGTTTTGGGTTGAAAAGGGAGTCTCCTTTTCCCTTTTTCGCTCCCTCCTTTTCTCCTCGGGGCTCAGCTCGCCGCAGGGGGGAAATTCCAAATGTTTTGCGCAGTGTGTCACGTGTTGGGACAGGCCCAAGGGGCCAAAAACTGGTGAGCTGTCTTGGTACTGCTTCTTCAGCTGTCTGATTTCTTTCCTCAGGTTCTCTATGCGGTGTTGCCTCCGGTTCGGCTTTAGAGCCTCCTTGCGTTTTCTTTGTTTCTTCAATCCCAAACCTCTCCCTTGCAACAGAGTATACAAGGGTGGAAAGTGTGTGTAACTTCCGGTGTACTGGACCTTGCATGGATGATTCGAGGATGATTTCTAGGTCCTCGTCAAACTGTTTCCATGGTGCCTTCTCAGATGCCTTGGGCCACTTGATCTTGGGTGTTCTTGTGGTAGCCATTGGGCGTGGTCGGTCAGAGATGGCCTCTTGCTCCTGTGGTTGGCTGCTAGTGTCCTGCGAGTAATTCAATAGCTCTAGGAGGGGGTCGTCTTCATCCATCATTGGATCCTGGGTGGCATCGTGCGCTGTCTCTTGAGTGGAGAGTTCATCAGTACTGTGAATAGTCTCCTGACTGGAGTACTCCCGCGTCTCACTAGCCATACTGGCTATGCGCTGCTCAAGTGGCCTCACGCGCTGGCAACCAGACTTCCCCTGGTGAATGCGTAACCCTCGTTGGTTTTTGCAGACTTTGCCACAAGGGCAAGTTACTGTTCCTGGTGCTGGGTTCGTAGTCGATTGGGAAGGCCGTGTCGATTCCATAAAATCCGTCCATGTGAGTCTTTCATCCTCCCCCCTCTCGGAAGACTCTGGGGGTGTCTTTCATTAGTGGAGTCTGTAGCTTGTCTGTGGGTGTCTTCTCACGAAGACTGCACGTCGGGATGCTACCCCTAGTGCCCCGATTCCAGTCTGTTCCTGGGGTCAACTGTCTCTCCAGTGTCACCAATCTATTCCTGGTTGCCATCCAGTCTTTCCTAGAAGTCACTGGTAAACCAGATGATCAATGTGGATAATACAGTCTTAAACGCACCTTTCTGAGGTCTGGTTCTCGACTGCGGATCTTCCTCCATCGTCAGCTTGGTGCCCACCAGATGTTTCGGCCCTTATCCAAGTACATCTGTAATGGCGGGTGGGCCCACCATCTTACGGTGTAAAGGTTGATCGCATCCAGCTTGTCTCCTCGCGTCGTAGCCACAGCCAGCTAGACGCCCGCTGAGCAGTCTGGCTCAGCTTCTGGATTGCCCGGCGCCTGTCTCTGCCAGTGGTCTATTTACATCGGATTTGAATATCAGTAGATTAAATATTTTGAAGTAATGATTTAATATTATATGTTTAAATGTAAAACAATTTGAAATAAATGTGGTTACAAAGTTTGGGCCTTAAAAAGCTTTAAATGTCATTTCCTCCTCAGTTGCTTGATAAATTTTGAAAAGACTCTACAGAAATGGTTCCTTATTAAAATTGATCAGGTTTACTAAACAAAAAAGCAAAAAGTAGTAAATCTCCGACTCAAAAAGTTGGTGGATTTGTGGAACAAGGTATTGACCGGAGCTAAAAAAAGAAATTAGTTTGAAACAACATCTTCTTAACCACTCGGTAGATTTTGGTAATTTTGGACAGCAATGGTCATTAGTTTGTGCTTGTCAAAGTACTCGGATGATTTCCGTCATGTTTCCCACCAGAGCTTAAATGAGTCGGCAATGATCATCAGGTAGTCAATATGATGGCTACTAGAGCTAGAAATAGAAATAAGCCGCCTTTAATTATATCTCCTATTCAACCATGTTGCAGTTATTAATGGACCGCTATATATTAAGGTGGTTCTATAGAAAAATTGCTGAAATAATTTCATGCTAAATAGAGATATAAGACTTAATATCCTCAACCCATTGGCTGATATTTATAAAACTAAATGAATAGAAATTGCCTTATTTAATCTTGTCAACGTAGACCGTTTCCCCTTGTTAGAGTTCAGGTGCGATTATGGCCCATTTGTCAATTACCTACGTTCCCTAATTGTCCTCTATGCATATGTCCTTTATTGACAGATAAGTGGCTAAGAAGACTGATTCTCAACCGGGGTGATTTCAAATCCTACTTTATAATTGATACGAATTTGGTTTAGTTTGTTCGTGTTAGAAGCTATAAACATACTGAAATTCTCTTGAAAACGACCCTGGATCGAACCAACTATAACTTAGAACTTATTTAGCTTACAGAACGTCTTACTTTTGTCTCACATATTCCACCAGAAAGCGTTAGTTTGAAGGAGCAGACGGCAAAGTTGTTAATATCAATCGCAAGCTGTTAAATCTAAATTGAGCGATGGATATACGTCTCACAATATATTTGCCTCATAAACTTGGGATCTTTGATTCAATTACTTCCAGGGTGACAACCATATTTATCTCACCAGAACAGACTGTGGCATTGGTGAGATATTACGATCCCCACTGTGTCCGTCGTCTGGAGTTGATTGTCATCAATAATTCCTTTAAACCACTTTTCTTTTCAAACCAACAGCAGGATATTAACCAAACTTCTCGGGAATAATCCTTAGGGAGTCACCTATCAAAGTTGATTTCCCCTTAATTTTTCAGGTATATGTGAGACAAAAGTAAGATGTTTCTGTCAGCTAACAAAAGCTAAAAAAACGCCGAAATATTAAGGGGAAATCACTGCGTAAGGATTGTCAAATGACAGGCGCATTATTTCTCGGAGAAGAAAAAATCGTTCCCGATTGGTCGAAGATTTCTAATATTGTGTTATTCTTTACAGATAAACATGCTTATATTAAGCTCCATGATTATTTACATCAGAGTTTAACAACAGGTTTACCGTGAAATTAAGGAGGAAAACAAACCCTAATTTAGAATAATGTGGTTTTCTTCAGGCTTGAACCTTCACCGGGGTCGAGGAGTTACACGCTCGGTAAGTAAGCGAGAGGTCTCGAGTTCAAATCCCAAAGTTGAGGCAACTTTTTTTTAATTAATTAAGCCAAATAAATATTGAATTGAATATCAATGTTGCAATAAGCCTTATAGCCAATTTACTACAGTTATAACACCGGACACAAAATTGTTGGCACTATACAAAAACGAATTGGTTTATAATCTTTCTGACATTCTGAGACCAAAACAAATTAGCGCCTTCTGTGCGTTAATGTTTAGAAATGTTGTTGTGCGCACTTTGTGTAAAGTTCTCTATGTAAATGTCCAATTGTTAAGCTAGCAAATATCTGAGTTTTAGGCGAAATTTACATCAGTTTCGGGAAGGCACACTTGTAGTGTTTAGCGTTTCTTTCTTTTTATTATTATTATTATTTCTTTTTTTTTTTTTTTGAGATCTGAATTTCTTGTTTTGTTGATTTGTTGAAATTGGTTGAATTTAATTGTGGTGATCTTAATTGATCATGGTTGATTCGTTGTAATTAATTGTTTTGGTTGTTGCATTATACATGTTTTTGGTTGTTGAGTTATATATCTGTTTGGTAAGAAATATTTGGTTAATATTGGTTGAATGTTTGGAGTGATTTTGTGTCAATCATCTTAAATCATTTTAGTGATTAGTCTGTCCATGCTATCTGCCTAACGCCCTTTCCTGTTTTTGTTTGGGGTCCTCCTGGGCTCTTTGTCGTTGGTTTTTGTCGCTGGGTAATGTGGGGGTTGAGTTCATTGAGCAACGCCTTTCCTTGTTGATCTTGTTTATCATATTTTATATTGTATCTTCGAGTTGAAAATAATTCATTTTGTTTCTTTTTGTATTGTTTTATTGTTTTAATTGATCATTTGTTGTTAAGAGCTTGGGCTCGCCAGGTGTCTACCATTGTTTCGTATAAAAGACGTATACGTGAAAAGATATTTCGTATAAACGGTCAATAAATGATGTGTGTTTGTTTGTGGTGTAAATAATGATAAGAGTTTGTTGTATTATGAATATATGGATTTGAGAAAGTAAAAGATAAAAATACCTTTCAAAAACAGTGTTAATGAAACAATTAATGCTAGTTTTCAAACTCAGAATATTTCAATTTTAAATCCAAGTTTTAGTTTCATATCTTAATCCTTCTTTAGATAAAATGACATCAAGGAGAGAAAATGACATCAAGGCAGTCATTCTCATGACAAAAACATAGTAATTTGATACATTTATTTGTCCTCCCTTTCCAAAATGATAATATAAATGTTACTTTTCTTTATTTCTTTATTTTAATGCATATATGTTTACATCATCGCCATGGTTTCATTTTAATGTGCTTTTACTATTTTGGTATGTTATTGTTTTCTCACATAGCAGGTTTGGCCTTGAGTAATCATAATCTTCGAATTTGACTTTTTCTAAAATTAGCTGGATGTATTATATCCAAACATGGACCAAACAACCCTTTATAAAATACCCTTCAAGAAGATCAAAATAAAACTTGAACTTTAAATGATCTTGACATTTATTTCAAGTTATAAAATTGTGCTAAATTTAACCAATGCTTTGTTATAAATGAACATATTTAGACAAAACAGCACGTTACATTGTAAAACCGTCATGTTCATAAATTCATTACATTCAACATAAAATTACATTGATCGTCAATAATTCAATAATGTCCTTACAGGCAATTACTCAAAAAGCATTTGAGGTATCAATTTAACACTTCGATGGTGGATATAAAGAGCAGCGCTCAAGAACTCTATATGTTTATACTTCATATGTTCGTTCAGAGTATAACTTTCATTCAATATGATATTTTAACATGAAACTACATAATATCCTATTGCCACGGTCTCGCATGGGGTATCTTATTCAGGACAGTGTCTTTTCAAGTTTTAACGATAACTATCTAAAGTTTTCTTTTTATCTTCCTCGTATATTATTCCTTAAATGAGAACACAGTTCTGCACTTATATTTAAACGTATATTTAATACACTACCCCTTATAATGAAGGGGTTGCTGGTTGGATCCGCAGCGAGGCATAAATTTAGCGTAACAAATGGCCATGTATGTCTGATTCATAAATCATCATTAATTAGTAGATGGTCAATTGCAGAGAAATAAGTAATGTCAGGAATACCAGTTAGGTATACCTACAGCAGAGATATGACCAAAAATGCATCAAAATTGACGTGAAAACCAACAAATACTCTTGACTTTAAGATCATTTCTCGTTCAGAATAATTTCTAAAAAGACATTGAAAATGTCCAATTTTATCTTGTATTGGTATTATCTTTTTTTTTCAAATTTCAGCTTTACAATTGAATAATTATAACAGAAAAATACATTGTAGATTCAATACTTTTCCCCATAAAAATAAAACTCACAAGAAGTAACACATACTGATACGAGTCTAATGTTCGAAACAATGTTAAATTAGGTTGGACATTATCCTACTCGCGCTTACGTCTATATATTATCCGCCTTTATTCTATTTTGTTGCAATAAAAACAAAAGATAATTATAAAATATCTTCTACAACCTATAATATCATGTATGATTATGGTGCGACGTTTATTTATTGTACACAACAGTGGATAATAATAATTTATACTGTTCTTGCTAAAATGTAAATAAAAATAGAAGAAGAAAAACATTCAAGAATTGCATGTGTTATTTCAAAAATAAACATATTTATAAATGAAGTCTAGATATAAAAAATGAAATTAAACATTTTAATCTGATTTGTACATTATATAATTCAATGTTTTATGCATGAAATTTAATACTGTTTTATAGGCTTAATAATGAAAGTACTTGAATACTCTTAGCTTCGAATCAAAATACCAGAAAATGAATTCATGTGGCTTTCATTTTCAAGCATTTTAGTCCCACTGTCTGCGCTGCTACATCTTACCCAAACCCTGTCTCCCTTTTTAAGGTAAACAAATACTTTTGATGTGTTGCAGACGTATGTATTTGCCTCATAAAAATGAGACGCAGAATAATATGAGTTGTTAATCATGATATTAATATACATATTTTTACTTAGGGTAAGAAAGCAAAACTGGTAACTAAAAGAATAAGATCCATCCACCGGTGCTGTAAAATATCCAGTTGTATTGCTGTATGCTCCGCCCACGTTGACAAGGTTTGTTGTAAAGATGAATCTCTCACCATTGCTTACACTGTATGTGCTAAGGGCATGTGCGAGAAACACCACAGAGGCTGCAAGCAAATGCAAACATATGACGTTCTTTTAACTGTTCATTTAAAAAAAAAACATCTTCATATAAATTTTTAAGTACATAAAATTTGATTGTAGAAAATATAGACATTATTTTCCTTCATACTGTTTTATTTCATTGATATACATTTTTGTACGTGTATATGTTTATAAAATGATTTGTTCCTTAATATGTGACACCTTGGAAAAAATATTTTAGAGTCTTTCCAAGTGACATAGATACATTTGTATGTACATGTACCTTTCCTGTTCAGCAACTTAGAAAGATAGAGTATATCACAGGTGCACCAGATATTAAAATATACATTCGCTTGGAATGTTTTACTTATTAAGCAATATTATACTCTAGGTCAGGACTGTTATTTAATTTGTTTTATCTTATTTTATTTATTTTTATATCAGGTTCAGTAAACTATTAGACTGTTTTTGTGTGTTTATTCTTTTTGTTTTCACTTGCCTCTTTCGAAATACTTTTCATAAAAGTATTATATTTTGTTGATTATGAAAGAAACAGTTTGCGAAAATATTGAAATTCAGACATGTGAACATTATCAATTAGTCATGCCGCTGATATGTTTATAGTTATTTACTCGTCTGAGACTTTTATTCAGCTGCAGATCACATCACGTCTATGAAATTATGACTATTATGATGAATTTAATGTAGACCAATTTATGTAAAATTCTTTTACTGGTTTCCAAGCAAATTGCACCAAATAAAATAAAACTATGTTTATTGACAAATTACGAGTATAATACTTTCAAAGAACAATATTTGGTGCATAGGCATTAAAACTCGAATTCACCATGTGTGGCTTATTTTTAATTGTAACTATAAACAACAGGAAAAAAACTTTGAAACATATAACTATGCTATTTTAAATGCTGTGTTACATAGAAAACAAAAGCCTCTCTGATTTGACGAAAAAACAAACTATACGTACTGAACGAAAGTGATTAAGGGCCGAAAAATGTTCGGGCCGGAAATTGCTAGGAAATCAGTATCTAAATATATATATTTAACTTTTTTGGCAGCCAGCCTGGCATTAATCTAAATTGAATTGAATTGGTTGAATCGATCATCTTGTAATTGAAAATACCTTTTCATTGGTGGATTTAATAATTTCTGGTTTAAAGATTGTATTTTCATTGGTTAATTATTGAACGCATTGTGGATAGTGGTTCTTTTAATGATAATATATACAAAAATGGTCGAGACAGACAGAGAGAAAAGATGTACCATGGAAGAAAAACAGTACTTTTAAGCAGATATGCCAGAAATAGCTTTGCAGTATACAACAACACTATAACAACCAAGCTATAGTTGTGTTTGATGGCTATTCATCCTCTCAAAGTCTAAAGAATGTTACACATATGAGAAGGACAAAAGGCAAAACAGGGACTATTATAATACGGCATTATTCAACCTTGATACAACGTTCAAATCAGATAAGGAGAAATTTCTCAATAACATAGAAAACAAGCAAAATTTTATTACTCTCCTCGTTAATTTTCTGAGAGATAACAATGTGACTGCAAAACAAGCAGAAAATGACGCTGATACTTTGATAGTTAGCACTGCTATTGAGGAAGCTGCATCACAGGATACTGTTGTTGTTGGAGAGGTTACTGACGTGCTTGTCTTGTTGTGCCACCATGCAGACAATTCAAAACATGATCTGTTCTATAAATCAGATATAAGACGAACACATCAGACAAAGAAAGTATGGGATATAAAGAAAACGAAGAATGTCATTGGACCTGAATAGTGAAACATGCTTCCATTCATCCACGCGTTCACAGGTTGTGATACAACTTCTAGGATATATGGTTTAAGCAAAGAAGCAGTACTGAAGCTTTTCAGAACCAGTTCCGAATTTAGACGTGTTATTGAGATATTCAATGAAGCGGAGCCAGATAAAAACGAGATTTCAACTCGTGGTGAGCAGGCATTGATTCTTCTCAACAATGGTATTTCTTTAGAAGGGCTTGATATCCTGAAGTTCCGTAAGTTTACACAAAAGGTATGCACAAGCAAAACATCCGTCCAGGTAGAGACATTACCACCGACTTCGGCTGCATTTTTGTATCACACACTGCGTACATATCTTCAGACTCAGGCTTGGAAACAATGAACTGAATCCTGTAGACTGGGGATGGGAAGTAACTAACAACAAACTATATCCAATAAGACACATCTTCTGCCAGGTCCGGAACCTCTACTCAAAGTTGTACGATGTAATTGTAGACAGAACTGTGATTCAAAACGGTGTACGTGTAGGAAACATTGATTAGATTGTTCACAAGGTTGTGGGGCCTGTCGGTGGACCTACTCGAACTCTTCCGCCCTTAATGAGAATGACGATGATGTGTCTGAAAACTGAATAACTGTGATGTATTAGTATTCATTTGCATTGTAAGAGGATTAAGAACATTGTTAGAAATATTTAACTCATATGTACGTTGTAATGGATAACCGTATACACATCAGTTTTGGTTAACTTGTGTTTTTATTTAACAACCAAACTTGTATTTTCTTGTATACTGTATAAATACAGTATAATATTTGTATGAGACTGTATTTCTATAAAGCTCAAGTAAAACAAAAATGTGGTGTGCTTATATTATTGTTTTATGTTATTTAATTGCATTCTTGTAATTTATAAGCATACAAGTGCTTATTTAATATATTTATTTTGTAGCTGTAGTTGAAATATTTAAGTCTCACTTATAATGATAAATCTACTCATATGTATGTTATAATGCTATCGTATTTCATAACGAATCAATTTCGTTACATACCTACCAAATCCTGGTTTTGTAAAAATAATAGTTTCTGTATTGACCACGTTCATTTATAGTCCATATACCTTGTGTAATAGCCTATTGACAAACAAAATGTAACTAATTTGAATTGTAGCTTTAATTTTAGCGACCAAAATTATCTATATAATTAACAGTTAATGCAGATATATATGTATATGAATTTCATTTGATATAAAATCAAAATGAAGCTTTAAAAATAAATTGAACTTTGAAATCAATTGGGAACAAGTCTTAAAGATATATATTTTGTGTACAATAGAGATTTGAATAATTTATGTCATTTTGTATTTTTATTATTGTAATATTTCTTTTTGAAATAGGTGGAGTAAATTATCAACCGTTTTGTCATGAATGTAGTAAAATGGTTGAAAAGTGGTTTCTTTATTGTTTATTATTACTTTCAAAGAATAACACTAAGATACATCAACTGAATGATATGTTTCAATGAGTATCTTAAAAGTAAAAACTTGAGAATGTGTTGTCTTTGCTGAAAAAGTGGGTGGGGTAATATTTTACCCCCGACATATGACAAATATGATCTAAATATAGAAAACATGGCCAAGTTTATGAAACCACAAGTTTCTACAAACATGTTTTGTCTTCAATGGCTCAAAAACAATAAAACGAACAATTTTAGCGGAAAAACATAGAAAAATTAAACAAGCTCAATTCAGTCTAATTCTAGCAAAAGTTTAAGGCATGTTTTATTTCAAATATTTGAGTGTTTTCCGCCAAAGCAAAACAGTTTAAACCCTTATCGCGTTATTCTACACAAATAAAAATACTTAAAAACATGCAAATAAATTCTTTTGCATTTTTTTTTCTACCTTTGGCCATTTTCGGGCTAGCATGACTGGACTAAATTTAGAGTTTAAGGCGATGGTGCCGCAGTTTACTGGGAACATGTATAGATGCTTCTAAAACCGGTTGGAATAGTTGGTGTAAATATGAATAAAAAACTGATTTAAAAAATTGACTTTGTGAGTTTGTGCTTGACATATTATAACCTTATACAGAATTCACAAAACAGGATAAAATTGATTGTTTTCATTGCTGTATGAAACACTGACCTATATAGATAAATTGCCCTAGCGACCATGTCTATCAAAAGTCATTAGTGACCAATAATATTTAGGGGGACCACTTTTACCAATAACGTCTTCTGCAAACACAAGTGTCAACAATCAAAGCACATTTCCGAGTCATTTTTTTCAAATTTCAATAGTTATTAAGAAAAGTGGAGAAGTATAAACTAGTGGAACAATAAAGAAAGCAAAGAACTTGAATGAACTTTATTCAGTTTGAAAATTTACATATACATGTAAATTTAATTTCAAATCTAAAAGTGAAATTTCTACATCAACAGTATCTATTACTGTGCAACAGTTAAACACGTTATTTAATATAAATAACTGAAATTTATGCTTGCCAATATTTTTATAAAAATCTAATATCTAAAAGATAAAAAATTGAATAGTTGTATACATATTTATTTGTCACTCACTCACTCACTCACTCACTCACTCACTCACTCACTCACTCACTAACCAACTTACTCACTCACTCACCCGCTCACTCACTTACACGAATGTTTTAAACAAATAATTATATATTACATGTTTTAACAGGTAAGTGTTGGCAGATTTGTCAGATAATAATTGGAAATCACAAGGGATATGTCTGAAGTCTTCCGCATTATTATACACATTATTTTCGGATAATTATCCTACTAACATTAAAGTTCATATAAGCAGATAATCATTTTTTATCTGGGAAGTGAATTTGAAAGTTTAATAGATGTTCGTCGTTGAACTGTTAAAAGACACTTTTCAGATATCGTTTATTTACCTCATTCACACGAAAACTAAGAAATATAAATAACCTGATAATTGAGTGTTTGACTGTTGGCAGAAAAATGCCACTCTAGATCATGGTTAAAACAGACAAGACGAGGATTAGTATTAGGAAGTACTTTAGTAATAATGCCCATTGATTGGCCTTTAAATATCATGACGACATGGGAATCATTGACACAAAACTGAAATGCCGTTAATTCACTCAGCTAGGTATGGGTTAAAGCGCCAGAAAAGAATGTCCTCGCATTTTGACTCTCAGATGTTATTGTTGCACTTCCTCCTATGCAAGTTATCCAAACGCGTTCACCTTTGCGTAAGTATGCATCGATGTCCGTTGATTTACAAACGTCTGAATAACCATCATAAAATTCAACAATTGAGTATACCCTACTTTCAACCATAAACTTTAAATAAATATGCTGCCCATTCGTATGACAAATATTAATGCTGAATGAATATGACCCATTAAATGGGGCAGTGAACTTTCCAGTAGAACTGCTATATGCTCCTCCTTCGTTAAACAGAACAGTAGGAAATACTAGATCCTGACCAGATCGTGGTGTTGTATCTGTGACACCATGAGCAAGGAAGACAATAACTGCAATCAGAGAAGAGCTAGCCAAATAATAAGGAAAGAGATTATCATTTTACAGATCAACATAATTAACTTAAGTTTGAAATATTTCAACAACACAAATACTGGTAGTAAAGATACAAATTTTGTAAACCAAGATGAACCATCATTAAAATGGTAAAGTATGGTTTCTGTTATATTATCTACCATACAAAATCACAGAGAATGAATTATTGCTATTTTCTTGTCATAAAAAGCCATAATATTCTGTCTGACTGGGATGTGACACGGACAGATAACGGACTTATTCATGATAACGCTTCCACCAGCAGAAATAGTACAATAAACTGTTCAGACTTTAGTTGTATATGGAAGGAACATTCTTGTTAGATTTTACTTTCTAAAAAAATGTTATATTGATGGTCCTCTATTCTCATAGAAAAATGCTTGCCGATAAACTCTGTGTCTGATGAAGGAAACACTTCATATTATGCACACTTTCAATACTTCTACCACTACATTATAACAAGGGGCAAAACCTTGCAACATAAATTATATTTTATGTTGCTAGAAGAAATCAGAAAGATGTGAAACCATTGATTCCATCCTTATTCTGGTAACCTGACTCTCAAACAGAACGGTAGATCAGTTTAACATTTCCTTGATTTTCCGATAATAATAATAATAAGGGTATCAATAACAATAAAGTCCTTAAGACAGTTTGGCCAATGACAGGACTAACTTGGTACTTAGGTCAGCATCTGTATTTCACAAGCAAGCAACATTTATATGTATTTCCACGGCTTTAACATCAGCGTGGCAAAATTCATTTTAATTACATAATTTATTTTTAATATCCATTTCAAAGTTGCTAAAATGATTAAGAAATATGATTAACCTGAATATTGTTTTTTAATATTGTCCATGAGCAAATCATGTACACGTCTGATAATGATAGATATCTCACATCAACATTTTTATATGTTTCTCTTAATGCTCTGTGTCAAGTAGTGTAACATTCTGAACGAAATGTGTAATTAACGAAGGCATATATCCTTTTAGTACGTATGTATTATATTTTTTCTAAATATCGGTTCAGGTATATCGCTGTGATACAAGCAAACGCATATAATTATAATAAATATTGCACACTTGTTTAAATTACATTGAAGTACAAGTATTATGCTTACTTTCTGTTTCCAATCCTATTTATTTTTCATGAAATAACATTACATGTATTTATTAATATTTTCAGGTCATATTGTATTTTACGTAATAATATTTCATATCATTACATGAACATTAGAAATCCAATAATAAGATATATTAACATGAAATTTTTACATGGTAATACAGAAAACAAATAGTTTATTGCAACAAATAGAGTATGAACCCCACTCAGTAAATTTTAGGTAAATACTCGTAGTTGCGTAGCGATACCTTGTACATTTATATTATGGACTTTATATTAATACATTAATACATGGCGTTTCATTCTCGTTTCGTCAAGGAATAGATTATCCATTTATATTTTTCTTCCCAACCTATTAAATATGGTCTTATGTAAGTTAAAATCAAAGAAAATGTGTGCAACAATGAAAGAACCGTGTAATGCTGAGGTTCATTGATTGCATGTAATCCATTTACTTTAATGTAGCAAGGAGCAAGTTGTTTTTTTTTTCGAATATTGTTCGACTGATTTTAAAAAAAATTGCAATGGTTCATTTGAAGAATAAAATCTGAAATAGAGATACACAAAAACTGCAAAGAAAAAAGTACATACAAATTTAAACTCGTAGAATCATTTTAACAATGTTTATTATGGATATTAAAAACACGGTAGAGGATCACGTGACTTTTACGGTAACGCGTACTGACAATATTGCGGCCTTAACACCTCGATTCATTCACATGTGTTTTAAGGTAGTTCTCTATCATATCCCTTTTCACGGTGTTCTGTTAGGGCGAGCGCGGTTTCGCTCTGTCGTCCTAAGGGCGAAATCGCGAAAAACAAGATACCTTGAAGCGAAAACACGATGCTATAAAGGGAAAAACACGATAAGAGATCGCGAAAACACGATGCGAAAAATATCGCGTCATCGCGCTATTAATATCGTGTTTTCGCTTTTTCGCCCTTGATCTCCCATAGTGTTTTCGCGTTTTCGCCTTCGCAGTCAGTAAGGCGAAAACGAGAACACGCAATATCAATGGCGCGAAACCGTGATATTTTTGGCATCGTGTTCTGGCAATCTCATATCGTGTTTTCCCGTTTTCGCTCTCTCAACCGCGAAGGCGAAAGCGCGAAAAGACGATGTTTTTATATCGCATGTTTAATATGCATGTTTCTATCCGTTTTGGCTCAAATTAAAAGACAAAATATCAATTTTTTTGTAAAATTTAAATCAGAATGGAAACTAGTTCAAATTTTTGTTAAAATAACACATAATGACACTAAACAGGCAAATGTATGCTTGTATTCTGATTCTTGGATGGGGTAAATTATCATGTTTTGGTTCTCAGCAGCTGATTTTGTCACTTTCTAGTAGAATTCTCACCCAATTTAACATTCATGTCTGGCAACTAAGCATGAAATGTGCTTATTTTAGCCTGTTTTTAGGTACAAGCAACAAAAATTCTCTTTTCCGTGTATATGCAGCAACAGGTCCCGTATGTAAGTAAAAGGGATATGATAAAGAATTGCACAAAAACACATGGGAAAGGGGTTATGGAGGCCGCAATAATATCAGTACGCGTTACCATAAAAGTCACATGATTCCCTACCGTGAATTTATTGAAGTTTGTTCGACATTTTTAATCTTATTTCATTCTTTTTAATTTCTTCTTACCACATTCTTGTTTGTTGCAGTCTTCAACCTCTGAAACTTCCCCAATGCAATATTGCCCATGAAGAGATGGCACAGGATTTGTACACTTCCTTAATCTGGACCGCAAACCTCCATCACACGTCACGGAGCAAGATGTCCACGCTCCCCAGGTAGACCATCCTCCGTCTGTCCATTAAAAACAGTTGTGTTTCAGAAAATCGGTATTTATGTAATTTAAAGTAAAATAAGTAGTAAAAGATGAAAATATCATTATACGACCGATGCTGTAAGCCAATACAGTAAGGTATTGGTTCTTCGTTAACGGTAATACGTTGAACACATCTCCGAAAGATCTGTTTTTATTTTTCTAGTACATTTCGTTGAAGATAGTTTAATGACATTGAACGCTGGAATAGTCTAGAATGTCTTTCTGAAATAAGATACTCTTCCGGCCACTATTAACAATGCATTACAATTAATTTGCGTATACTTACTTGCACATGGACCTTGCACACATATTTTGTCTTCAAGTGGATCTCCAAAGCAATGATCTCCAAAGCGTGAAGGATAGGGATTTGTGCAGTTACGAACCCTTCTCTGAATTCCTACATCGCATGTTACTGAGCATGCGCCCCAATTTTCCCACCCTGTCCATCCACCGTGAACTAAAAGAAACAGGACATAGTTAAAACTTTTGAACTGACATGGTTTTAATCTAATAGCAATAATGTCAAAAAAGCTTAGATAACAAGATTACGGCTTGCTCAACTGTTTTAAATAGCTAGATTTAAGACCAACGAATCACGATATGATAATTCTGTTATCAGTTCAAAGTCTATGGTTAAAAAAGAAAAATAATTTTTGTCTCAAAAAACAAAGATAACCTGCCACTGTCTTGCCATCATATGAAATTAAATCTATTTATGATCACATTTAATCACTTACTTGGACATGGCTGTAATAAACATGTTTTTGTATCGGTTTTGTTCCCAACACAGTCAAGGCCATTGTGTGCCGGCGGAGGGTTGGTACATGTTCTTTTTCTTGTCTGCAGCCCTTTCTCGCAGGTTACGTCACAACCAGACCATTGCGACCATTCTGCCCAGTTTCCATCCACTTTAGATAAGAAAATAACACATTTAAGTCCAAAACATTTTATAACTTGCATGTCTTTTTTTTATTTATTTGATTTTATACATTGAAAAAGATATCCAACGTTTTGGTCACAGATCCAGTGTTCGAAGTACAAAAAGTAGCTTATTTTTTAAAGCTAAGAATAAATTTTATTAATTCATATTTTATACTTGTATTGAAGATATTAGTGTCTGCATCTGACAGTTTAGGTAAAATATTAAGAAATGAACACTTAGATAGCCTTAACATAACAAATGGAATTTCCTTACATGAAAATGTAAGCTTTACCTAATGTGCATAGGCCGCAGAATTTTGGACATACATTTTTCGAATGCTGAATATCTTTGCATATGTTGAACATAGCATTTAAGTAAGCACAATCTACTTTCACATCGTCCATACACGTTGTAGCTGAAATAAAACTATAATAATTAAAGATAATGACCGACTCTGAATTATCTGAACTAATTCAAAGTACTAGTAAATGAAAATAATATGCACTTCGTCTAGCATTTGATCGTTGATTAGTATACGACATTGATATGTCATATATACCCAGCAAACAAAAGACGTTGTACCAACGTTGTACTGACGTTAGACCCTGACGTTGGGTAAACGTTGGCAGAAGGTTGGATTTGAAAGTTTTTTAGACGTCAGAATCCGACGTCTATACAACGTCATAAAATGACCCTTATCCAACCTTATCTGACCATAATCCAACCTTTTCTGACCATTATCTGACCATAATCCAACCTTTTCTGACCATAATCCAACCTTTTCTGACCATTATCCAACCTTTTCTGACCATTATCTGACCATAATCCAACCTTATCTGACCATGATTTAACCTCATTTCAAACTTTTTGGAATATGATTTTTTTCATTTTAAGTTCATAAGTAAGGTAAACAAATAAGCATTCTTATAATTTTAACAATTTATTTGCAATACGAATCACATGTACAAATCAATAAATGCGGTACTATAACATATGTAACATTAACATAATGTATTATGAAACTATTAAACTTGACAGTATGTACGTAAATAACGCTTCATATATTAAATAATCATGTTTTAGATATACAAAATTCTTCATAAACATTAACACTGACATTTTTTATGGTTAACATTCATGCATGCTTTTCTTATATCACCAAGTCTTATTTCCGACTGAACCGATCAACCTGAGGTTGGGATTTTCCGATCATCTATCCAACTCACTGATTGTATATTTTTCTTTGTACTTTTTATCTGAATGTTAAATGAACAATACAATATATTGTGAATATTTTGATATTACTACAAATAGCAATGTTCATATATCTTAATTAGCATTCTTCTTTCGTCCACCTACACTATGGCAATCTGGGGCATACTTTAAAGTTTAAGCATATCATAGTCTGAACCTTTACCGTCTCCAAACTGAGATATCATCATTCACACTATCTGAAATTTAAAAATAAATTAAATAATCACTTACAATTGCAAGAAATAAATCACTTTTACATATTACAAATAAATGAAATTCTGACAAAACTCTCCAACTACTTTAACAAAAGAGGCTTATTTTTTTACTTTAGTTTAAACCATGTAGTTTCATGTACCTATATATCATTTGATTTTGATAAAAATGGCTTCATGATCAATGTAATATTTTGAATTATACCTGTCACAAAATCTTGTGTGTTTTTCTTCTTCTTTCCCTTTTAATAATTTCATCTTCCTCCTCTGAACTTTCGACAGTTGTTGAATTATCATAATTTTCACAATCTCTGATATTCACTGAAAGACAAAACAATATTATGATTATCAAAGCACGTTTACGAAAAAAAACCTGATAAAATGTTCAATTAAATATTTTCATTAAGTATGACCTGAAAATTTAGTAAGAAATTACGATTTTTGCCTGCGCAAAATTTAATATGAAATGATATTTTTTTATATTTATCATAATTTCTATAAATGCTACAACATCAAAGAAATTCACATGTTACTGTCATTTTTATAGATATAATCTCTGCCCAGCATGATCCGATCTGCTAAGAGTATAAAGGACAGACTGGCTGAGGGTACAAACGTTTTATGATATGAGCATATAACTTGTTTCACTATATTTGATAAGCAGGCTAATTAACAAACTATTATTTTTATTGATTTATAACCTTGATAATGTGTTTACTGACTGATACTATGTTGTCTTATTACATTAATGAAAAGATAAGTAGTCGAAAACAATGTGGTTTCAGATATATCTTACCAAAGATGTATCATTTACATAAAATGCCAATAATCATTATCATAATATAAGAAACATGTGGTATGCTCATGGGCAAAATACTTCAATTTTACAACCTGTAGTTAAACAACTACACAGACATCAAAATCAAACTGTGCTTGAGACCCTACAGTTATCTGATACATGTGTAAATGAATGGCCCCTCATATAAGGGAAATTCATGTTGATAAGAAATAAGAGGAAATTTTATATGCCAGCATTTGAATAATAGAGTCTAATTAACGTACTGCATTTAACCTTTTATTGATATATTTTATGCAAAAAAATAATTATGCAATGGCGATATAGTGTGGGAAAAATAATCCGATAATATAAATTGTTCTAAAGCAAATAATAAAGTGCTCTAACGAGGAAACGAAAATATTTATCTCGCGAAATCATGTGACTTTAAGTTTTACCAATCAAACTTTACAATGATCAATTAACCGCCGAATCCATGCAAACATGCGGTAAATAAGCATTAAAACAATATATAACGTTTGCCTACCTTTTTCTATTTGTTTGGAATATACAAGGTTGTCTGTCAACCGGTCGTTTTTGTCCGCCAATACAATTGAATTTCAAATCCGATAAGACTCCAATTCGAATTTACTAGATTATTTACCACTATAAAATGTAGCCCACAAAAATGATTACAACTTCATTGTTAATTATTTAAACACTTCTTTGACTAATTTGAGGAGATAAGTTATTAATAAAAAGAAATAGAGCAAATATATATTATACTGATCTGCGGCTACCCGTTTACCGAGCGCCACCTATCGAATATCGTACGGTAGCCACCCACGTGACATTGTTGTTGTTTTGATTAGGCAAATAAATTTATAATGTTCCCTTTCTAAAGAAACTTAAAATTCTCACTGTTTATGATAATATTTATATATATTGGTTTTATAAATTAAATTTACCAATTGTCAGATTACCGACCAAAATCCGACGTCGAGTCGACGTCAAAATGATACGTTTGTTAGACGTCGGGGTTTCAACGTTGGTTTGACGTTGTGTGAAGGTCGCCGACGTCGCGACCAATTTTCAACGTTGATCCAACGTTGTGTCAACGTCGGGTGTTTGCTGGGTACAGTTTCAAGTGCATATTCTCAATTTGCAACATTGTTCATAGTTTGAATTAAGGATGCGTGTATAAAATTCTCTGTTAGGTTTCAGGGAAGAAAATGCAACGTGAGTTGCAATTATAAAATAATATATATATCATAAAAACGAAGCATTTTTTCAGTTAGTATGTGTTTAATTGCCCGTGCGTGTGTGTATTCCTTTGTTTTGTTGTCTTTATCTTATTTAGGGGATTATTTCTCCTGTTTGCAGAACCACACTTTCCATATGCCGACCAAGCCATATCAAGGGAATTTACATAAATTAAGATGAAGAAAGTTGAATTTTTACTCTATTAGATAAGTTATATCTAGAAAACAAACATACGTTTAAAGTGGATACATAGTTGATTGTTACACCTCGCTGTACTGCAGCATTCATGGCAACTCGTTTCTCGTTCACTAACGTCTCGACCAACAATTCCTGATTGAATACCGCATTGCTAAATGTAAAACATTATATGATTTTAACATTCTGATTTATGCTAAAAGTATTTCATCATAGCATTTATTGTTAGAACTATGAGTCTAAAGTTTTTTGTTTGTTTTGGGTTTTACGTCACATCGACACAGTATAGGTCATATCGCGACGTTCCAGCTTTACTGGTGGAGGAAGACCTCAGGTGCCTTCCGTGCATTATTTCAGGCACGAACGGGCACCTGAGTAGAACCACCGACGTTCCGTAAGCTAGCTGGATAGCTTCCTCACATGAAAGAATCGAAAGTCCCTGTCGGGATTCGAACCCACAGCGGTGAGGGGCAAGTGGTTTGAAGTCAACATGAGTCTAAAGAATCAATTTTATGGTTTGCTATTTCCATTACATACCTTCAAATAAGTCGAACAATTCATTGTGGCATTCAAAAGTCTTTAACTTGAATACTTCCTTTATTCTTGTTCAAGCAAATGCGCGGTATATACATGTACATAGATCAACCAAAAATGCATTTGATCACGTACTTTGTATGCTGAATATTATTTATTCGGGCGTTCAAACTAAACAAGTGTTGCAATCTATCAGCTAAAATGTAATATTTTAATTGAATTATATATATTTGTCTGTTAATAATGATAAAGAACTACTAAAATGCAATAAGATAACGGCAGACAGTATAAAATGGAAGGTAATGCGAATGTCATTTGAGGCAAGACTTTAACTCTTGTAAACTAGCCGTGTTTTATTACTCACACTTTATGAAACGTCAAACTATCTGTAAGATTACTGTTATCTAAAGGCCCTGTCACACTAGACTGCACTTTTACTGCGTTAGCTTGGAGTTGTTAAATTTAACAAAGCGCCGCAAGATCACAAGAAATATCTGATATTTTTGATGACATTGAGACTTCACGGCGTCTTCACGGCGATCATGCCTTCGCTACGGAGCTTCCACGGCGTTATAACGCGTTCCAACGGCGTTTTGATTGGCGATTGTCTGCGTTCGGACTGCGCTTCTACTGCGTTCTTTGCGCTTCCACTGCGCTTTCACGGAGCTTACACGGAGCTCTCACGGCGTTCACACTGTGTATATGTCGTGTTTCATATAACAGATATCACTGATTCTTAATAGTCGTGTACCTGCTGCAACTACATGCAAGCTAGCAATATTCCAGCTTGCCGTTCTTCATCCACTGTTAAAAGGACATTTACTTGCAAACACGTTTTATATATATACAGTGGCAACCCTCTATTAGGACTTCCAAAAGGACTAGACTAAAGTCACAGTGATCTTCATTGTTGATGGTCTTAATAATGGCTATAATTATCAAGGCATATATATTTCATGACCACTCTATTTGAACTTTTATGTGTAAACATGTTTTTTTTTAAATTACATGATAACCTTCAAAATAAATTTGCAGAAAATGACAAAATGACATTGAACCACTCTGAAGTTTATTTTCTCACCTTTATAGAATTTACTAATCACAACAGTTGCAACACCTGTTTCATCAAGTGTCATGCTTTAGAGAATTCAAGCAGATGAATAACAATATACTTGTGATCTGAATCTGTATTGACTGGAATACCAGTGGCCTCAATAGTGGGGTTAGATAAATAAAACAATGAATTGGAACTGGAACTGGTGGTCTTAAAAGTTGATATGTAGAGTGGTCTTAAATGTGGACCATGCTACCATTAACATAAACAATAGGAAATCTCGTTCTTTTGAAAATAGATCTAAATAGAGGGGTGATATTAATTCCGGAGTGGTCTTTCAGGGATTCTACTGTACTGTATTCTGCAATATCAGATGAAAGCAGTAGAATCGCCTTGAAAGCGCAGTGGTCGTCGTGACAGTGTCGTAAAGTCGTTGTAAGAGCTTTTGAGAAAAAATACAGCTCCGTACAATCGCCGTTCACACGCAGTATAGGCGCGATAGCTAGAGACGCCGCACAATCTCCGTACAAGCGCCATGACTAACAAAGGCGTTCATTCGGCGCTCGTTCTGCGCTTTCACGGCGCTCCTGTTGCGTTGTAGGAGATGTTATTGAGTTGATACGGCGTCCTTACAGCGATCCTACTGCGCTCTTATCAGAACGCCGAGTGACGGCGTTTGTTTTGAGCATGCTCAAAATGCGCGCCGTCGGTCAGCGTTCTATGAGATGCCACTGCGATGCTGCGGCGATACTACGGCGATGTTTGCGATCTTACTGCGCTCATCTCGGCGTTCTGAAATTTCTTTGGACGCCGCGAGAACGCCGTCCTAGTGTGACAGGGGTTTAACACAAAGTGATTTTACATATCAAATAAGATTGCTCAGTGCTATGCGGTTCAAAGTACTGTTAGCTATTTCTTATACCATACAGCACTTTACTAGATCATAATAGTGGTCAACGTGAAACTAATCATATTGTTTAATTAACAAATTCTATACTAAACCGTTTTGAAAACTGTTCGTGTTGCCGTTTTATAAAACATTCCTCTCGATTACACGCCGCTAAATTTTAGCGATTGTCGCTGTCTTTTTTTATTTGACGGACCGCGTGAATCTCAGTACGAGTCAGATCAGATTGTTGATTGTATAGGTAGTTAACTTACGTCGTTATTAGTGCATCCCATTGTGAACTTTGTGTCTTGTCCAGATGTAAAGGAGTTTGCATAACATGACTACAACCAACAGAGATATTTGTATGTAAATATAACAGCATAAAATTTGTATTATATATTCATAACATTCGATCCATAAATGTGTATTATATATTCATAACATTCGATCCATTCTTATTTTTTGTTACACATGAAATTATCTAAGAATTGAGAATTTAAATAGCGTAAATATTCTCAAAGCCTTGGTTCTCTCAGATATAAGTTTGAGTACAAAGAAGTACCTGTTCGTGTTATAAATTGTGTAAAAAAAAGCTGTATGTAAAAATAAAATGTAAAGATCTAAGACATAAAGGGATTTCGCTGTGAAAATTTGACAGTTCGATAGTTCGGGACTGGAAATAATTTTGAGATTTAATATGTACCATTTACTTGGTCTGGACCAAAAGCGTGTGTGCAAAGGTTCATTCTTTTTTTTCAAGAGTAGTATTCTTATTGTGAAAAATGACACAAAATGACAAGCGTTGAAACGCGTTTGAATAAATTTGATTTAGTCCTATGGATACTTTTCAGTTTTCTTCTTCACATTTTATGTTAACTTTTAACTGTCCCAGTTATTCTTTGTAAGAAATTCAAATTTTGTGTTTAAGGGAATTTGGACCTCGCTGAAGGAAATGATCATTTGTAAACAGATGATGATAAAGTACCTGTCCAGTTCGACACTGAGTAGTTGAGATACAGCTGTTGACCGATGACACACCCGAACAGGAGTAACATTCCAGACAATCTGATTTACACAAAAAGACTTAATAAGCCTGATCCGCAGGTTAAGGGCAAGGTTAATAATATATTGACGTTCCAAAGATAGATTCTGAAATATGTTTGTTCTGGGTCCGAACATCGCTTCTTTGTCCATACACAAAATAGCACAATTTATCATCGCGTAGTACAATTTGTTGGACTAAGGGCAGGGGCGGTCGGTTTTGACCAGTTTCTTTACGGTAGCCAATTTTGAAAATTACCAAAGAGTTGAATTTTCCTTGAGAATATTTAAAACATGGCATACCTGTATCACATATTGATAATGTTCTTATAATCTGAACAAAATATTTCTTTGGCCATTGAATATGTTATCTTTGGATGTTTTGACGGCTTATTTGAAACAGTTTTTATATATTTTGGATATATTTTTTGATCAATGTTTATTAATTCAGAGTGACCCGCTCTTAACAACTATTCGTTTTAAGTTTATTCTGACCAAAATAATGGTTCTTTAAGTTCACTTAAGAGTAATATGCCACTCAATATTAAAAGTCAATAAGTACGGATTGATGAATGAGATGCTGTATCGTTTTAATTAATTTTGATAATTTGATAAAATTTACATCTGTAATACGTTATAAATCGTATATGTTAATAAATAAGTGATTTGATATTGGCCTTGTTATTTGTCCGAGGGCGGTCGTATTAGCCCAGGACAATTTTATTAAATAACTACATGTACTTAAAATATTTCACATTTAATCCTCGGATATTTTTCTTATTTTAATTCTAACATATTTTGATTATAACAAAGAACAACTGTAAAAATAACTACATTTAATCAGTTTGTTTGGAAAACCTACATTTTGTATATTGTTTATGCAACCTGTCGGCGTCTACACAGACCGATTAAAAACAAAATGGCTGCCATTTCCCAGTTTCTTGCAGAAATCTTTATCATTTTTTTTGGCCCTGCTTTATTAGCCAATCAAAATACTTCAAATGCGGGCTTTATATATCGAGCCAAAAAAGTGATATAGATATCGGCATTGTTTAATTTGTTTTAAGACAGGCCAACGTGTTATTGAACATGACAGGTGCTTTTTATAGGACTACAAACGTATGGTTATTTAATAAAACGAAATACAAACCGACTGTGCCAAGTGCTCCCAGAACGACAATGATAGGTATATCTAAAACAAAAAACAAAACGTGAAAGCTTGATGAATTAGGTATTATAAGAAGCAACTTTCTTTGTTGTTTTACACAATTACCCAGTTTAAAAATAAATAGCTTGGTTGACTACTTCATTACCATATATTTCTAATTGTGTGTGTTTTTTTTTGCATATCCTTATATTGTATTTATAATACCTTGAGAAGAAATAAAGTTTTCTGTCTGTCTGTCTGTCTGTCTGACTGACTGACTGACTGACTGACTTGATCTTAATGATTATTAACAAATTGAATAGATCTCGACTGTGCAATGCACTGTTAATTTGTATTTATTTTACTTCATTATTCATTTTTTTCTTTTTAAATACATTAATTAAATCATAATGAAAAATATAAAAGATGAAGAGCGGAACAACTTTATAGCAATACACATGCCATCAGAATATGATATGTCTTTGAAAAAAAATGTATTTACAAGAACTTTCAGAAATAAAAGGGTAAAGTATTGAGGAAAATATGTATTGTCTTTTCACTGTCATTCATAAGATGGCACAAAAGTATAGATTTTATATAGTGTGTTAGTTATAATACTTAATATCATTTTTGTCTCTCAAAAATGTTTATTTACGTAAAATTATTCAAAGTATAGTGTGTAAGATATAATTCTTTATTCTTAATATTAAATCTTTTTTTTTTCTCTCAAAAATGTGTATTTTTCGTAAAATAATTTAAAAAGTATAGATTTTAATGCGTAAGATATAATACTTGTCATATATTTGTTTTCTCTCAAGAAATGTTTATTTTCGTAAAATAGTAAAATAAGATCATATGTTGAAATAATAAATAATTAAAATCAGAGCATCCCGGTAAAAAGAAGTATAATTCTTGAATACTTAAGAAAATTTATCAAAGCACTTACATGATAAAATCATTTTGTTACAATTTTTCATGTCTGTCAAAGTCTTCTATCCATCACGCAAGTAGAAATAATGCACTTGGTGATTTTTGCTTACATATATTTAGAATATTGTTCTACATTGATAAGACCATGTAACAAGAGGGTCGTTCAGACCATGTAACAAGAGGGTCGTTCAAATTTTATTACAAGAATGTTAGAAAACTTGAACAACCTTTTGTAAACTATTCTAATACTCCTGCCTTTTTTGTAGCGTGCAAAAAACGAAGGTATCGTACACAATTATATGTCAGTATATTTCACGTCAAAAGTTTATAAAAAAAATTACTATGCTGATAGTCTGCTAATCTCTGCATTTTCTTTCCAAATAAACTTTATATATTTTTGTGGTAATTTTATATATACAGTCAAACCTGTGAAAAAAAACATCGAAAGGAAAGACCATACATGTAGTTTATAGACAAGTGTTGTATTTTTATCATTGAAGATTTGTTAAATAGTGGTCTCTATATGCAAGGTGGTCTTTATTCCGAGGTGTTATAACACAGGTTTAATTGTATTCAAAAACAGGAAAGTTATCTGGAATTAATTAATGTGTCCGTTCGTCCTTTATAAAACTCCCTTTAGAATGTAGTGCAAACTAAGAGCACAATGCAACCATCATTGCATTGGGAAGATACATTTCGGTACACTAGCGCATTCGTCGACTTCGAACATTATGATGCGGAACAAAATGAATTTAAAAATATCTGCAAAATGAAACGAAAACAATGCGAAAAGGAAAGACGCGAAAACCTTATTGCGAGTATGGTAACGATCCAAAACAATTCTGGGAAACACTGAGAAGGGCAAACCCGATAATAAAGAGTGTTACGAATTATATAAACGGGGACGAATGGGTTTTCTTATTTTCGCAATTTATATACAACACAAGATACAAGATAGCGCTGATATATTAAGGACTTCAATCCCACCACCAATCAATAATCTTGTTGAGGAGAGAGATGCGAGTTACTTAAATACTCCAATTACAAAAGTGGAAATTATGTTAAGCATTTCTTCATTAAAGTCTAAAAGCGCTCCTAGAGTAGATGGCATATGTTGCGAAATGTTTAAAAGCACTGCCAATATAGTGGCAGAACATTTGGTTGGCTTAGTCAATGAAATTTTCGATAGTGGACATTTTCCTCATTCATGGAGCGAATACATAATTTCACCAATTCACAAAAAAGGATCACTGTACGACCCTAATAATTATCGCGCTATAGCCCTTTCAAAATTGCATAAGCAAGATACCTGTACATATTTTGTCAAAAAGACTAAATACATGGTGTGACGTTAATGACGTTATTGATGAATCACAGGCAGGATTTCGAAAAGGGTATTCAACTATTGACAATTTGTTTTATCTACAGTCTATTATCCAAAAGCATCTATCAATAAAAAGGGGTAGAATCTACGTGTTTTACGTATATTTCCGTAAAACTTTCGACAGCTGCCCACATCATTTGTTATTGTCTTGTTTACGAAGATATGGAATGAATGGTAAATTTATGACTATCTTTCAATCCATATACGAAAAACATAAATATTGTGTTTAAGTGAATTCTGTCCCAGGTGAAGGTAACTCGCAACAGAATGGCGGGATCACTGACTTCTTTAATAGTAACATTTGAACCAAACAGGGCTGATCTACGTCTCTGAAAATATTTGCAATGTACGTCTATGATCTTGTAAAATATATGAGATCCGGTTCTACTCATGGAATATTTATATCCAAAGATACAGGCCAGCTGTACGCTCTTCTTTTTGCCGATGACGTTTCAACATTTGCAGATACAGCTATAAACTTACAAAGACATATAAATACCATAGAAACGTTTTGCAATAATAGTGGACTACAATTAAACACCGATAAATCTAAAGTCATGGTTTTTCGAAACGGTGGCCCATTGCGTAACCACGAACGCTGGTACTTTAATGGTATCAAATTAGAAGTGGTATCATACTATAAATATTTGGGACTATATTTCATTCCTATATTGTGTTGGTCTCTCACGCGAACAACTCTTGCCAAACAAGCTTTTAAAGCAGTGTTTTGCATTCTGAGTCAGCAACGATACTTTGGACCCTTTAACCCTAAAGACGCTTTTAAATTATTTGACACGATAGTCCGACCGATTTTGCGTCATGGTGCAGAAATTTGGGGTTATCAGTATTCAGCCATTATTGAGAACGTGCACACAGACTTTTGCAGACGTATTTGTGGTCTAAACCAGAATGTAGCTAACTTTTTCCCGCTCCGCGAATGTGGCAGGGCTCCAATTTCAGTACATTATATAACCAAATGTGTTAAATACTGGACTAAACTATTACAAATGCCAAATGAGCGTTATCCAAAACAATGTTATTTAATGTTACGCAGACTAGACGAGGCTGATAAGAAAACATGGGTTACCTGTACGAGTATTAAGGATGCTTTGTTTGAATATGGGTTCGGATATGCGTGGATTGCTCAAGAAATTGGAATCATACAAACTTTATGGCATTACTGGTTGATAGAGTCATCGATCGAGCTACGCTAAATATCCTCTCGCAAGAACAAAACTCTCCCAAAGCCAATTAATATAAGCACTTTAAATCACATCTAGATACAGAGAGATATCTGTCAATACATCTGCCATTTAAACTGAAAAGACAATTGGCGAATTGCCGATTGATCTGGTCACAATTTAATGATTGAAAAAAGAAGCCACCAAAATATTGATCGACAATTTATATATTGTCCATTTTGTCTAAATAACCAAGCTCATTATGTTGAGGATGAGTATCATATGTTGCTTGTATGTAAATTATATGATGAACTGAGAACACAATGTTTTATTCAAACTTGGTTTAACTGTGAACCAAACATGAACTTATTTTATTCAATAATGTCATGTGACGATGAATTGGGCATTTTCGCTCTTGCAAACTATATATACAAAGCTTTGGAAACTAGAAATATGTTCATTAAAAATGTTGGAACATCCTAATTTAACTAATAGGAACCGATCATATGAACTAGATGATGTTAAATGCATAACAAAATTATAAAGTGAACAGTATTTAAAGAACACGAATAAGTTGTTCCTTTGCCGTGCTTTAAAACACATACTTAAATTCAGCATTGTTAATGTTGATAATAATACTCATTTTACTCACTTATTCGCACATAATTACTGCTTATGTATTGATCACGAATAATATTTGTATATGAATTATATATTGTTGATGCATCATTTATATTGTAAATAATGAATTACTAAAAAAAATGTACAATATTATGTGTATCGTGGGCCGGAGGCCTTTAAATACAAATAAAACGTATGTTATGTTATACACTTATAACTTGAATAAACAATATCTTTTTATCAACTTTCAAAGAAATTTACAATTCCAAAGTTTTTAAGTGGCAAAATTCTTACCCGATGAGTTATTTGATTCGATCAACATGATCTAGTATCATTGCTAACCAGATATTGTTTGGAAATTATTATAATCAATAAAAATCGTTACCGATTTCTTATCTAGGAACTGATGCCGCGTATTTTCAGGACAGTTTTTTTTGCCTGGTTTTTACGTCGCATCTCATATGGCCCAGAGAAAGACCTCATGTGTCCCATCGGTGCATTATTTCGGGAACCAGCAGAACCATCGACGTTCCATAAGCTAGCTGACCAGAATGCCTTTTCACATGAAAAAATACAAAGTTCATTGGGGCTTCGAACATGCAGTGTTAAGGGGTAAATGATTTAAGCGAATGGTCAACGACCTTAACCATTTGGCCACGGTCGCCCCCACCCCCGTTTTTGTTATAAAAATTATATTATTGTATTTTGTTATTTTTACTGTGTGATAATGCCTAAATGAATCACTGCTTACTTGTATGGTCGTATTAGATTACAGCATTATTTGAATGTGATATTACTCAGATCAATACGACTTGTAAATTAACCCTAAGTATTCCTTCGTTTGCTTTTATTTTACAAACCATGTGGACAAAACAGACCGAATATATCTTATAAATTTGTGCACCGAACAACATGACACACATGAATTGTAGTTCTAATTGAATTGTTTCCTGTAATATTTACTTAAAGACACATTATGCCTTCAGAAATTCTTTTTAGTTTTATTTCTCAAAAGCTTTTTAAGTGCTTGTTGTTTTGTTTTTATAGTATCCAAATAGCAACTCATTTGGAAATTACACGAAGCATCTTTTTTACCTGTTGCTTTTTTGCAATTAGTACAGTTATAGTGAACGAGTATTTTGTTTGGAAGTCAAAATACTACTTTGTTAACATTTTTTACTTTTATGTCATATTGTGTCACATTTATTGCTACTTTCTTCAGGTAACAGGCATCTAACATTCTCTAAAAAAAAATTAAACATTATAAAATTTTTATGTTTGCCATTTCTAATGCCTAGGTCACAAATAAAACGGGCGCCGTCCGATTAAACGATTTTTATAAAATCGGCAGATTTTTTGATGTCGTGGACGCAGGGCGATTTTAAATCTGATACCTTGCGTGGTCACGAATGAAACAATCGTCGGTCGATTTTTGCCGAGTGGATTTTACAGAAAGAATTGAACGGATCAGGCGGTCGCCGCCCGATGTCCGTACGGCGCCTGTGCGATTTAAAAGTGAAGCGGACGGTTGCCGCGCGGGTGCCGGGCGACAATGACTTTACATTTAATGACATCCTAGATAAATCAGCCAGTTGTAATTATGCCAGCAAAGAAGCCAGCTGCCAATCCCAAGGGGAAGGCCAATGAGTTGGTCCGTGTTGTTGACAACGAGTCACCAACGGCCAGTATCGAGGGCGTAGAAGGCGAAAATCAATCAGACATTCGCATGGACATTGAAGAAAAAATTCATGTTTACTAGTATTCAAAAGAAATTCACAAATATATTTTTGAGGCAATTTCAACTTTTTCAAGCTGAAACTACAACAAACACAAACAGCCCGGTCGCCGGATGACAAAACGATGACCGCCCGGTGCCTGTACATGAATCGTCCGGGTTCCGGGCGATAATCGTTTGACTACTTAGCTCTATTCAGG